AAACTTGGCTTTGTTTAAAAACCTTTGTAGTGCTCTGACTTTCCACCCTTTCCTTAATAAAGTTCCCTTCTCCATAATGTGGTTCTAAATATCTTACCTGGTAGTGACAGGCCTGTAACTTCTCGTTTTGCAGTATATCTTTTGGAAGAGTCATTAGCGTTGGCTCATACTAAAGATCACTAACTTGATGGAAACATTCTCTGAAGAACTAACTTCAGTGAATTAGTCTTCCTTCTTCCCCCTTCAAGGATGATGGGGGGAACCCTTATATTTGATCTGAATCTACATAGGTGCAACTCTCTGAAGTAGTGTTTTGCTTTCTTCTTGTCTAGCTGACTTGATATGAGTTTTATTCCACAAGCAGGCACTGCAAATAAATTAAACCAGTCCAAAAAATGTCTGATAAATTAGTTAAAGTTGGTCTGCTTAATCTGTTTAGAAACAGCCTCTCCGGCTGTTCAGAATTTTAGCGGGGAATAGAGGGTATTACATGACTTGGTAGAAGTTGTAAAAGGATAGGAAAGGGGATTTTTAAAGGCTTTCGGTATTGGCCAGGCATGCTCCAGTGTTTGGGTGTCCAGCTGAGCTCTGAAAGCACTAGTGAGCCAGAAGGCTGACTGGTGGGAGGGCATCTAAGAGTTCTGCATTGAACTGCCAGTCCTGGAAACACGATTCCTTCAGGATTCTTCAGTGAATGTTAACATAGCATGAAATATCTTGCTAGTGGAGCCCCTTCTGAAGAGGCTGCCCTTATTCTTGTCTGGGCAGTTCCATACAGCTGCTTCTTTGCTTTAGCCCAAAGCATTTCTAATGCTACAGTGAGGTAAGCCTGCCACGCTTTCAGTTGCTGGCTAAAAGGCCTGAGGGAAGGACCCTATGGGAGTGGCTTCCTTTAATGTCTTTGCTTTTTTAATATTGGCTTTCCAGTATGCAGAGTCAGGCTCAGTTCAGCACGGGTGGAGGAACTGTAATGTTTGGTAGCTACCAAATCCTGTGCGTACCTGATTGAGTCACAGAGTAAAGTGATTTCTGTCTCTGGGAGAGTCTCCTCCCCAGGAAACCTGGAACAGAAATGTGTACAGGTCTCAGACCTGTAGTGCCTCCATGGGGCATAGCCAGTATCTGGATGATAGCGTTCCCAAAACCCAGTGTCTTTGAAAGGCTAGATAAGGAATTTGCTGCAGCTCTATAGGCTGTTGTACTTGTTCCTATTCCTATCTGGAAAGGGGAGACATGGGGGTTTTTTCATTGTACTTGTGCAGGTGAGGTGCACTCTGTTAACAGTAATGCTGAAGTGCTTCCTGTAACATGATTTTCAGCTTTTTATTCTGTGATGAAAGGGGCAAATGAGAAGACTTCACAAATTGCGCACTTGCTTTCCAGTGATTCATTTTAAAGTTAGTCCTCAGTGACAAATGGGACTTAAAAATATTACTTGAAAAGGCTGTCACTTTGGGGCTGTCATGCCTTTAAATGATTTTAAAGAGTGGTACTGTTAAGGTGCTTCAGAATAGTGTCCTTGGCGCCAAACACTTCATCTTCTTTGTGTTCCTTAATGTGGATCTTAAACCCTGTGAAGGATGAAAAGGCAGGCTTGATTGCTTCCAGTGATATACTTACTTAATGGCTCTTGCTAATTTTGTCTAGTGTGCTAAAAGTGAATCTAGTGTTCTGTATACAGAAGAGGCCAAATGTTTGTCTGTTTGTATTAATGCTGACCCATTTAGAGGAGATTCTAGATTAAAATTTGACTGGCTCAACACTGTGATTATCTGTCCTTTTTTTGTAAACAGACAAGTTTATTGGGTCAATGCAAAGAGGGTTTAACAAAACAGGAGCAAGGTGACCTCATCCCTGCTCATAAATAGGGAGGCATTTGTCCTGTGTGATTAGAGGCATAGCTCTCAAATCATAGAATAGTTTGGGTTGGAAGGGACCTTTTGAAGGCTTCAGCTGTGACCTACACAGGTTTAACAGTTATATTGATGATACTACACTCCCATGAACCTGCCCAGGTAAGTTTCGTGTGCTTACAATGGTGAAAGCAAGCGCTGGATGGATGGAAACGTATGTTGTGCCCCATGTCACTGCCTGGAACGCTGTTCTGGGCCTTGAAAAGTAAGTTCTTTGGCCACATAGCACCCCAGAAAGAATTGAGTCAGGCAATGGGACTCATTTCTGATACAACCTCATAGACAGACCAAAAAGCATGGCATTGGGTGGGTAAATCACATCCCCTATCATGCACCAGCCTTAGGGAAAATCAAATGATACGATGAACTGTTAAAGACTACATTGAGAGCAATTGCGTGGTGGGACCTTCAAACACTGGGATAGACATTCATCAAAAGCCATCTGGTTAGTTAATGCTAGAGGATCTGTCAGTTGGCCTGATCCTGCCAAATCAGAACTTCTGTAGAAGGGGATAAAGTTCATGTAGTACAAAAATATGCTGAGGAAAACAGCCAGGGTTATTCCTACCTCAGGCAAAGGCAAACCCATTTGTGGGATTGCTTTTGCTCAAGGACCCTGGGTGCACTTGGTGGGTGATGTGGAAGGATGGGGAAGTCCCATGTGTGCCTTAAGGGGATTTGATTTTAGGTGAAAATAGCCAATGAATTAAATTGTATGATGTTAATTGTTATATAACCCTGCCTATTGTGTCGTCATTACTGTAATGGTTACATGATGTATTAGTGGTATTACAGTAAGAATCGCCTAGATGAATGAAGAATGAATTTTGATAAAACAGTATGAAGCGCAGTAGCGATGGAACCAGAACGGACTTCAGTATGCAACAGTCCAATACCAGACACCATCTTCCTGCTGTGTCCAACGTCACCCACCCACTGCACTTAAGGGACCTTTTAAAGGCCCCTACAGATCTGCCCTGCGTGAGGCAGATATGTTTAGGTCTTCAGAAATAACAGAATCTTGAGGAAGTACCTGAAGTGCCACAGCTGCATCCATAGGGCATGGAGTTTACCAGTCTAGTCGTCTTGGATTTAGATCCATTGCTTAATCACTGCAGAGCTCTGTGTAACTGCAACAACAGTGCCAACTTGGTTTGCCGTGCACAGACCAATCTGAGCTTTTAGGTAAAGATCCTGACAAATAGATGAACATCTAGCACATATTTGAGATGTGTATTCAGACTAAGATGGAAAAATACTAGTTTACAAGGGTCAAAGCATAATCCTGCCTACCAACAGCTGATTTTTCTGAAAGTAACTCCAAGCTAGTATGCTTTAAGGTACTGACAGACTAAAATGAGATATAGAAGTATCAGAAAAGATGTGGTGTGTTTGTAATATGAAGATTATGTGGGAGAGAAGACTGTCAGGGAGATACAGCTTAGCTGACTCAGTTATATTGAGTCCCTAGTACAAAATGCTAATGACTAATTGTGCCCAGTTTTATTTTTTAAAAATTCACTAATAATGTGAAAGCTGCAAACAGCAAACCAGCTTAAAATCCAGCTGGCAGGGAAGTCTTGGGTAACTTTTCTCAGTGCCTCTTAATTTTCTAAATAAAACAATGAAAGGAAGATACCAACAGAACTTCTGGGAGTTTCAGCTGGGGGAGATTTGTTTGAGCACCTGGTTGTCCTGGAGTAAGTGATTGTTCAGGAACCTGGGCTGCTCTTCTGCTGATTGTACCTTCCATGGAGAAGCTGTTGCTGTAGTTTACCTGTTGTCTTCTATGCAGTTGGTGGTAGTGTTGGTGAAAGTGTACTAGGTAGGGAAGTGAGGTAACATTACAGCTTAACATTGTATGTGAACTCTTCATTGAGACACATGATGCCAATGTAATATTCTGATTAGAAAAATAAACAGCTTTGTGTAGCCCACTCCCCTCCCTTTTACTGTGAAGCTCAGAATTGGAAAAAATTAAAGCTTCAGAGTTTTCAAAATATTAGATATCTCTGCTTTCCTCACTCTCCGTTCTGCAACGGACAGTTATGGTGGCAGAAGCTTGTGGCTTTCTAGCATGCTGTTAATCAGTAGCTGATGTCAGACTTGTTTTCTTCCAAGGGATTTTGGTGTAGCTGCGCAGAAGTACTTTCTGTATTCAGAGGTTTTGTCTTCCTGCTAGGAAGAAGAGTAAGGCTTTGGTATGGCCTGTCCTGTTGGTGTGTTTTCCAAGTTGGAAGCAGCAGCCGTGGTAAAGAGCAGACAGTTCTGGAGCTTTTTCCTGGGAGCTCAAATTCCCCATTGGTTTGTTGTGCCTGTAGGGAATAAAGTTCTAACTGTAAATATCGCTTACGTTTTTACAGATACAAGTGGAAAGCTCTTTTTTCTTTTATTGGCATCATGAAATTCTTGTAAGGAGCCTTGGTGGATGTGCACTAGTGTTAATTAGGTAGCTGTATCTGAGCCTCCTGGTGGCTCTCACCATCTTGTTGAAGTGTGATATGTTGTAACTTCTGAAAAAAGCAAGTGTGGGAACAAGCAGAGACTGTTCGCAAGCTTCCATCTGTAGGAGTGAGCTGCCTTGCAAAGCCTAAGTAAAAGTAGCAGGAAACTTCTTACAGGCTGGCTTCACACTTCAGTAGCAGTGTAGATATTGTACAAAGTTGAGAAGAACAGTAGCCCACTACTTCTAGCCTTTTAAATATGAAGGGATTTGGGTAGCTTGTGTAACTGGGGACAATATCACTGTCTTGCAAAGATGGTGACTGTGAGGTCTTCCAGATGTTCATAGCTTGTCTTTCCTCTGGAGTTGCACTGGTTTCCATTATTGCTTTTTGTCTGTCTGTACTCATGAAGGTGTATTTGCATGCTGCAGGTGAATTAATGTGCTATAGGCAACTGATCTAGTCTGAAATCTCTCCATAGGCAAGAGGTTTGCAGATGGATCAGAGTTTAAGCAGTTATGACTGAATATACAAATCAGTTGCAATGTCTGATGGGACCTCTGTATAAACTTGTGTTCTTCCCTTCTGGCCAAGAGATGCATCCTTATTAGTAATAATCAGTTTGCTTTTCCTCCCCTCACAGGGCAACTCAGGTAGGACGTGGATCCAGACTGACGAGTCAACTAAGGACTGGCAGTTATTTCTAGTTGGAAGAAACAGTGACATTGGTAAGACCTGTCTTATCAGTTGCTATCTTACTTGGGTTACCGATGTGACTGAGGAAAGACCCAGGGAAAAACCTGCCCCTTCATTATGGAGGAAACATCACTGTAATAACTGCAGCCAGCAATTTGAATCATATCTTCAAAAGAAGATGGATCAGTTCAAAAATTTCCTTTCAAGCTGGAAGGATATTTTGGACTTCTCATTCTCTCCCCTGCCCCGCTTCCTTTACTCTGAAACCCTTGAAGGACTAGATATTAATCTAGTCCTTCAACTGCAGAACTACAGTAAATTTAAAGAAATGCTGAACTCACTGGTACGTAAAATGACCGCCTTAAATACATGTAGGAGTTAGTAGCATTGTTCTTACGGAGTTGTAAAATTCAGTCTGAGGGGCTAACACAGTAGTTTTTTCAAGTTCTGCTTTTCAAGCCTAGCTTGTACATCTGGGAAGAAACATACATCTGAAGCTGCTGATGTGTTTTTATAGCCTGGCTTTTCACCCGGCTTATATTTGAGCTAGATAGTCTTGGCCAAGATCCTGAAAGTATTGACTGTCTGCAGACTCTAGGGTCTGACACCTGAGACACTGTTGCAATTCTAATGCAGCACTGATTAGGCATAAATCTCCTTTCCAACTGATGATCCAGTTTCTATTTCTTGTGTTAGTCAGGGTTTTTAAAGTAGTACAAAATAAACTTCCTTTCACCTTAGAAGTTGTTAGTCTGAGTTGACACGCTAGGATTCTTGTAGCAGTGTGAACTGATAAATTTATCATTAGCACAGTCTTATGTTTAACATGGCAATTGATATTCTTATCCAATGTATAGTGAAAAAGCTTTAATGTTGGCTTTTATTTCCAGGCTCAAAATGAGTGCAATGTTGGAAAGCCCTGAGCTGCCGGCAGTGTTTGATGGGGTGAAGCTAGCTGCAGTTGCTGCTGTTCTGTATGTTATTGTTCGCTGCTTGAATTTAAAAAGCCCAACTGCCCCTCCTGAGCTCATTTACCAGGACTCTGCCTTGGCCCGCTTTCTACTCAAATCCTGCCCACTTTTGACCAAAGAGTAAGTAGTATATTTTTTTCATGTTGACTTGTGTTAGAGGGAGAAGAGCTGCACATAACCATTCTTCTGCCTAGTGTGTTTCTTACCCTGACATTCATTTGCACTCAGGTTTATTCTCTTAGGGGAAAATAACATGTTCCAAGTGAAACTTTTCATTATTGTTAGTGTCCCAGGTACCTGGTTTTAGGACCAAGTCTTGCTGTGCAGGACTCTCCATGAATGTTTGGAAAATGTCATCTCTGTCCCTCTGTGTATTAGCTATATGCTGATATTGTACTATACCAGCACTATATATCTCACCGTCTGTGGACATGGGGGAGGAGTGGGTTCAATCCGCACTGGTTCCTGTTCATGTATTCTCTGTTCTATTAGGGAAGAAAGGTGCCAGGGCTCACAGGAAAGAAATGTTTTCATGGTGTGTCTGTGCACTTATAAAGAACACAGGGATGGCTATTAGTTTTAAAGTGCCTACTCTTACTTGAAGTGCCTTAAGTTGATTGAAGACTAATGAAATCTATTACTGGGTAGAGCACATAGTTATAACTAGTTTAATACAGTAATGACATACTGGCCAGCTCTAAGCTTGTTGAATCCATTTTCAAAATGACCTTATGTCAACTGTCTGTGTGAGCAGGCTGATCCTTGCCCTTCCGTTCTAGGACCTCCAGAATCAGTGCAGCTGCCCTTACCTCCACCAATAATACGAAGCATTTACTGAGGCTCTGGAGGGTCAAGAAATTTGATTACAGTATTTCTCTTCCATGATCACTTTGAAAACTTACAAGTCCTATTTAGAAGCTCTAAATACATCAGTTATCTAGAAAGTGCTGAGTGCAGCTGCATGAACCTTCCTTTTTGGAGCTCAAAAGTCAAGCTGACTTAATGACAGTCATTCTAGGGGAGATGAGAGGCTTTTAGTGGTGCTGTGTGAGGTGCCTTGATTATGTAAGGCATAAGATCTTAAGCCATAGGATCTGTAAACTCTTAGAGGAAATAAAGCATTATCCATTTGAAATTGGAGTCCAAAGAGGGGTTCCCTGATGCACTCAGTTTGGTAGTGAGTTGAAGCTGAGCATTGAAATTGGATTCTTGATTACGTCTAAGGCCTTAACTGCAAAGCAGTTGCTTCCCTAAAAAATACCAAGTAACTAGAACCTCCTTAGTGTATCTTAGACACTTGTCATCTCAGTGTTGGCACTCTAGATTGAAATGTCCCTAGTCACTGAAAGAGCAAGCATGAAGCTGTGCTGATTGCCAGTCTTGAAGACCTAATAGCATCAGGCTAATCTTTAGAAACAGATTGTAAGCTAATTCAGAGTCTGTTTTACTTTTATTTCAGCTCTGTTCTCATGGCACAAGCTCCTAACACTACTGTATTACAGGCATGTTTCTGACTTTCATTCAGTTGGAGAGCAAAGCATTCCCAAAGGAACAAAAATGCAGAACATGTCTAAAAACTGCAATACGTCTGTTGTGCATTAATTGCAGGAGTTTCATGTGGAACTCAAGTATTGTGTTAATAGCAAAACCCCTGAGATTACACACAGTTTCTTTGGATCAGCTCAGAGCTCAGTTTTGCCAACTCTGAATACTGTAGCAGTGATTTCCAGCACATCATTATTGGGCAGAACATTGCCTGAAAGACTTGTATGACCCCAGGATGTGTCAATAGGTAGTTGTTCAGTCTACCTATATACCTATATTAGGGGAGACAGGATTATTCTCCAGGCATGAAAGTCACCTGGACACTAAAGGGGAACAAATGGATTTAAATTTCTGCAATTATGCATGAAGTAGTTAGTAGGACTAATTAGCAAAAAGCTATGTGAAAACAGCTTGTGCCATACTCCACTGAAAAAATCTTGTAAGGCTTTGATTACTTGCTAATTATTCAGAGTGTTAGGAAAGCTGATTAAGCAGCTTTTTTCAAATTTTACCATGAAAGCAAAATAAGTAGCCCAACAATCCCTCCTGTTATATCAGTACTGGATTTGTTATAAGATCTGTTATAACACCAGTTCTTCTGTACAGCTGCGAACTGGCTTTCAGACCTGTTTTGTTCAGCTCCCTTATGCTTAAGGAAGGAACAGGTGAGGATATTGCTGGAAAGAACAGGGCAGCAGGGAGAAAGCAGAAATAAGCAAAATTGTTATATCTATGCAACTGTTCAAAAATACTTGGAAAAAATACTTGGATTTTGTTTTCCCTTCATGGTATCATCCTCACCTATGGACTTACTCATTGCATTGTAACCATAGTGTCATTCAGTATGCCAAGTGGTGATAGGTGAATAATTTAAAAGCTTTGGATAGTAAAACTGCATGAGATGGCACCGTGCCAGGTACCTTGTATTTGCAGATGTTAGTACTGCTTTTTATGGTTCTCTAAACTGCTGGAAGCTTTCTCCATATCCATCAAACACTGGTAAGCAAGAAATTCTTGTCTTCTTAGAGCTCACATTTTCTTACCTTTATTTCCCTTCCTCTACCCCTGTCCAGCTCTGGCTTACCAAGTGGAGTAGCATAATCAGAGCTTTTTTCATTCAAAGAACTGCTGCTTGCATGGAAGCCCTTGCAAATCAGCACAGCTATTGGTGCCCTTGAGCACTCAGGCCTAACCCCTGACTGCAGCTGTCTCCTTTTCCTCTCTTTCAAATTGGTACAGAAAATCTGCCATCTGCTCTCTTATTCCTGTAGAAATGCAGCATTGGCTCTTTGATTCATGAGGACAAATCGGGCTAGGGCTAGACATTTTTTTGGCTGTTCCCAAGTTCTTCTACCATCAAGTGTGTGTGTGTGTGTGTGTGAATCTTTATGCCTGCAGAGGCAACGGCACAAGTGTCGTCCATATCGAAAATAATTATCCTTGTTATCTGCACACTTTTATCATTAATACAGGCAAGCCTCTCAAAAATTGAGACAAATGACTGTCAAGCATGTTAGTAAACACTGTCAAAGATTCAGTGTAGGTCCTTCTTATCCTTTCTTTGCACAGTAAGCTGTACTGGATAAGCAGGCTGCCTGGTACTAGAAGGCTCTTTTGCACTGTCACTGCCTTTCTCCTAGATGCAAGGAGACAAGTAGTCAGAAAAGCTGTCATCAAGCTTTTCAATGTTCTGTTCTTCTATCTAATAGCAAAGTGTTTGATTCCTGTCAACTCCTTAGTGTTTTACCCTGGGAGGAATGTTTCCAGGAGAATAATAAACTAGAACAACAGTGTTACTCCTGAAGCTTTGGCAGGTGAACATGTTGAGAGCTAGAGAAGAGTGGCAGCTCCCTACTGGTAAGTTGAAGCATTGACTTTGGGGATAGAAGCAGCCTCAGGGGGTCTGAGTCCTTGCTAGGTGCTCTGCTGTGGCATTGGCAGCAGCCTTGTGTTCTCCAGCTCTCATCAGCAAGGACAGATGTGCTGTAATAGTCATGCCCTGTTTTGACTAGAATACTACTTGTAATCACTGAAGGTTGAGGGGTGTGATGGGAACTTGACTAAATAAAAGCTGCCTAAATTGAGAAGGAGGTGGTTTAACCAAGGAGACCAGTCTGTACTTTTTAAATAGTACTGACTTCATACAGTTTCTGTGGGCAGCAAACACTTCTACTCCGCTTATGTTAGTTTCTTTTCAGAGGCTCAGGGAACATGGAAGCTTTGTAAGCTGCTTTAAATTTTTGCTGTTACGTATTTGCTGTGCCTTCATTGTGTTGAACAGTCTAGCTGAGCTGATGCAGAAAAAGCTGCTTTCTACATATTTGGCGGGGAGAGGTTGAACCCTGCAGACTTTTAGATGATCTTTCTTGATTGGAATTCAAATTGCATTCCATAGCATCAAATAAGGGACAAGGTTCAAACAAGGTTTGATTTGCAAAGCATCCTTTATATATCTCTGAACTGCTCTGTTAAGGGGAAGAAAATAACTTGTCACCTGTTGTAATGCGGGTGGCAGTTTTCAGGGTGTCCCCTGATGTGGACAAGTTTTAGGCTCTGCTTTCTTGCCATCAGTATCTGGTGTACTACAGCACACCAGAGGTGATGTAAGAGTTAATGTTGGAAGTGTTAATCTCCTCAGATAAAATTAAGTAATGCTCCAGAAATAAGCCTGTTGCTGAACTTCCACTTCAGATCTTTGAGGACCTGAATGCTGATGCTTGCTAATAAAAATAGCACAGTTTTTATGTACTTTGTGTGAGCTGCTTATACAGCTGCTGCTTTCCTAAATTCCTGCATACTGGGTGATGTACGTGCTCTAAAATTATAATCTGCTGCCTGAGAGCACTAAAACTTAATCTACAATCACGTGTTGGAAATGTTTTTAATAATAAAATGCTAGGAGAACATTCGTGAAACACGTTGCTCTTGGGCAGTGTTGTGGACAGCCACCTATCAAGATGTGGGACTGTGCTGCACAGCTGAAACACAGCAGTCAGAGCTAAAACATTAGCATTTGGGAGTAGATTTCTGTGACTAGCTGTGAATTTACTTAGCCAGTTAAGACTGAACTCTGTACTTTTGCCATATAAGTCAGCTTCCATAATAAGTAACTGGCATCCTCAGACCTGTTCTCCTGTCAGTCTTCTGTTACAAAATCCTGTTACTGGAAGTTATGGGATTTGCTACTGGAAGCCCTAACTGCCTCAAATATTTGTCTTTACTCAGAGTGCCTGATATTTATTGCAACTGACTAAATCAAAACAGGAAAATGAGTCAGCCTTTGTCTAGAGCAAACTGGGAAGCCATTTTTGTTTTACAGAAACTGCGATTTTTGTTTCCATTACAATGCAACTTTGCTTTCGGGTCTCCTATGTTATCAGTACTTGCTTGTCTTTGCTATTGTGTTACACGATCATCCTTGTGCAGGCAAGCATATAGCTCTTTGGCCAGAGGTCTTCCTGACTGCTGTTCACCACCCAGCTGGCTACTCGCTCCTGTCGACTGTAGACTGCGATTGCAGAACAGTGGACACGCTGCTTATAGACCCGGTGTCTGTGCCTGGAGTCTTGTACATCTGTGAGCAGCTTCACTGGAACAGGGAACACTGAGGAATACATAGTCGGTCATCTACTTACAGTGAAATTTGCTGTGCTGAGACAACCTCCACAGTACACTGCTTTTCAAAACCTCTTTGGTTTATAGCAAGCATTACAGAGAAAATGAAGTCTGTCATGTCTTTGAACACTTTAATTGCTTCTACTTAATATCAGTTCCAGAGGGAAGCCACCTGCTTTTATTAGTGAGGGACCTGTGTTTGGAAGACATGGTTAAATTTAGCAGTAGTGATAGTTTTAGCATAAAGTCTAAAGGGTGATGCTTGAACTCTCCTTAAACTGCATACTACTTAGTTGCTTAGTCTGCATCATGCCTAGCTTGTATTTCCACATGTCACAACCTGCTGAGCTTGTTTTGTTAAGGTAAGCCACGAGAAAAATACCCTGAGTACATGCTCTTCTGCCTCCAGGATGATAGTTTCAGAGGAGCATCTCTTTTCAGCTGTTTGCCATGAGGCATGTTGGCTTCACTGCAAAACAATTTGTGCTAGCTATTGCTGTCAGCACTGGATAGGTTTTTTTCATCAGGGTTGAATATGAAAATGTCTCTGGAACTGTTTTTCACATAATATGCTTAAATAAAACTTAGCTTCTCTGATATGCACTTTCAGAGGGTGAAGATTCTTGCACAATGCCTGGCAAGCTTTTTTCCCCTTGCCAGTGTGGTATAATGCACCTTCATGACTGAATAGTTCTTTCTGTGCTCTCCTCTTTGAATGATTTTAGTAAAAGCAAGCTGAAAGTCCACACAAATCCTGGATAAGATGTTTTGTCCTGCAGTCCTGTACAGTCTTGCACTATTATGCTCGGTACTTATTTTAGAAGTTCTTGTAGACTTCCTTGTCTTGTAAAAAGATGTAGATAGAAATAAGTTATAGGAAGACTTTCAAAACAGATTTCTCCATTGCCATAATGTGGAGCGTCAACAAATTCTGACAGACAGATTGTATGCCTGATTCTGCTATAGATTATAAGGATGCTTTGCAAAGTCAAACTTGACCCTCATCTGAGGATGACTTTTACTGGAATGCTATGATAGAGAGGCATCACTTTGTTACTGCCAGTGCTTTATAGCCTATATATACTGTCATGGGTTTTGTAGTAGGCTAGATTGGCAACTTGTCTTGGTAAATTAAAGTCTAATATTTTTAATAGCTGCTTGCTTTTGCATCAATCTGGTAAAATGAGTTTTAATCTCTTAGTTTTCCACAGTTTATTCAAGGTCTGTACAATCTGGGCAACTTTCCCTTTCCCTGTTGGAAGTCTTGTGATGTTCAGTTTCCTGTAGCCCAGATACTTAAGGGATTTTAGGATACCTGTATCGACACAAGCCCATTGCTTAAAGGCTGATGGGCAGTAGTAAAAGAAAAGTGAGAATCTGCTGCTCCATCACTTGCATATGTTTCAGGGCTTAAACTGCTTTATTTTTAAGTGCAAACTACAGAAGTATACTTAACATGGTTAAGTATGACTAAGTGGGAGTAACAAATCTCTGCATCAGAGTACTGTCCTATGCACATTACTCATGCTGGAACTTGACCTTTGAATATTTATCTAGAAGACTAGTTACATGCAGAGTGACTAACACTAACATCTTTGCTGCAGGCAGTGTGATGCTTAAACAACTGACTGGAGTTAACATAAAAGATAAGCTGAGCATTTTACTTGCTTGGTCCACAGGGTGCTTAGAAACACTAGTTTGTGCACTCTGAAGGGAGCAGGCGGTGAATGTATCATTGTCCATAGGGCTTTACACAGCTATAGGTTTGAGGGAAATGTGGAACCCGTAGGTATTGTTTGTCTATCACTATGGATGGAGACACAGGGATTCCTGCCTTGGTTTTAGTCTTTCCTTTAATGAAGAACATATCAATAAAACTGCATGTGCTGTTTGCACATGTAAAAGCAGCTTAAAGGTTTGCCTTTAACTTCCAGTCAGGTTATTTGAAGGCAGGTTTGGGGTTTTTTTCCCCACCAAAAAACAGCTGTGACTGGAGGAGGCAGGCTGTGGTAAGTAGTACACTCTTGGTAAGCAGTATGCTTGAAGTCCATTTGTCTTCATTTAAGCTCTGGCAGTAGTGGTGAGGCTTTGAAGACTTCTAATTTCCTCTCTAACAACATCCTGTGGTATGTGCTGCTGCAGCTGCTGCATTTATTCCACAGGATGACTAATTTATAGTTGGAAACTGAACTGCAGGTAAACATGAGGAAAGGATTGGTGCTTGCAGAGATCCTTGATTTTTATTATTTTCTCATCAAGGTGGTATCAGTAATTGGTCACAGCTGTATGACGTAGCTGCTGTAACTAGAGAAATTGTTTTCGTCTTAGCCCTATGGGGTGAGACTTTGGGTATTACCTGGGATAATCCTTGATTTGAGAAGCACTGTATAGATGCACAATCACAAAAAATGTTCCAATGCATGCATTTAACCTAAGATTAGAAACCGTGCAACAATGTTGACGTCCGAGTCTCTTCTGAAAGAGCTGCAAATTCTTATTATAGGTTGTATTTGACAGCTCTCCTCAAAAGCTCCTAGCAAAACCCATCTGCAAAAGACGTCTGTGAAAGCAGACAAAGCCAGTCAAGCATTGTTTATTGTGGGGTAGGTCTACTGACCCAAACTGGTTGTAATGTAAATAACTGGGGTGAAGCTAGCTTCTTTTTGTTGTGCAAGGAGAGCAGTGTCTCTTCCATCTGACATAATAGCTGCTGTTCAAAACCCTCTGCAGTGAGCTGTATGGGACTGGAGCAGAACCATCTGCAGTTCTTCCTGTGCAGCTTTGTTTACATTGACTGCACTATCCTGATGGATATCTACTTGGAATCGTAAGAATCTATCCACTACTTTCCATCTCTACCAGCAATTGCAGAGGTTGAGCTTGTACAGTCCCCATCATTGCTAGGAATCTCTGCATGGCTGGCATGCTGCACATTGTTCCTGGCAAGATCCACCTGCAGTGCCTATTGCCCAGTGCAGAGATGCTGGGCCGATAAAAGATAGCGCTATTAGCCTCACATAGATTCTCTGAAAAGCTTTATAGTTGAGTGATCAAATCAAAGATGCACTGAGGGCTAATTTACAAGGTTACAAGCATCATTTGGCAGCTTTTGCAGCCCTTATTGAAGTGGAATCTACTTCTGTGTGAATCTATTTTGGGTCTCCTTGGAAAGTGCACTCACAAAATGTGAATGAAACTGTGCCATGAACAGCTGTGTTGCTTTGTCTGTAAGAAGTCTCTTGTAGGTAAGGGAAGAGAGCAGGGAGAAAGAGCATACTGCTGCTCTTGTTAAACAAACCTAGATAGTTTTTATTTTTATAAGAAGTGTTTTTTTGAGGAGTGTGTAGGGGGAACAGGGAGTTGTGGCTATGACACATAAAAGCTGTCATGGGGAAGAAGGTCTAGCTGTGTGAGTAGGTAGTGTCAGAGCACAAAGGCAAGGTTTCCATCACAATTCTAGTGGCTCATAGGCTTACGTAGCAAATCTGAGCCCTGAGCTGCCTTGTCCTCTTTGAAGTAGGGGAAAAACATGATCTCTGTTTCATGTGGTGTCAAGAAGTCCAAGGGAATAATTGCAGGAAGTCCTAAAAAACATAACAAGGAGATTGTTGCTAATCGCAGGATCCAAGGTGCTATCAGTAGCTCTCAAGCTTCTTGATACCCTTCTCTGTGTAGCAGAGACCACAACTCCTTAATTGGAAGCATGTCCTCTGGGACTGCTCTTTTCCTAAACAATAAATCATTCATGCTTTCCTGTTGAGAGCTGATGTAACTGTCTTTTTCAAGGCATCAGCTCAGTCTCTCCTTTGCGGAGTGGCCAGGTGACTGCCCTACCACCACCGTGTGGACTACAATATATTTCCTGTTAAAACACTTGCAGCTTGCTTGTACTAAAAAAAACCTGGTAACTAAGCCTTGAATGCTTTCTAGCTAATAGCTGTTCGCCCCATGGTTTTTTTGGGTGCCAGTAAGCCAGGAAAAAAGAAGACAATCTGCGTTATCATCTAACTTTAATGTGCCCTTGACAAACAAACATAATTTGTAAACTCCCTCTTACGTTGAAAGGGTTTTCTTTTGCAGTGGAGTTTGTCCAGTTATGACAGGTCCTTTCAAAACTGTCCCTGCTTTACCTAACTCTGCTTGAGAGGTAAAATCACCCTGTACCATGTTCATCACTTAACTGAGAAAAGTAGTTCTGTGTAGCATTGTCCCAACCAGCAAGTCTTGGGACTTTTGGTCTTCTAGAACTTACTGTGAATCCTGTCGTTTCTCCTACTGTATGTACAGTCAGGTGTTTACACAAGTTCATGTGGCTCAACACATCAGGCTTCAGTGTTTAAATTAAAACAGATTTACAACACTGTACAGGTTTCGGAGGTCAGTTTGGTTGGCTAGCAACTTGCTTTCCCAATCTCACTGAGGCACAAGGCCTCTGTGTATTTGGTGAAAAGCATCTGTGCATGTAAAATTTCAATATAGAGGAGTGTCTGGTTTTCAGCTTTTGCCGCTATCAGTGCTGACTTCTCAGCTTTGAGAGTTTATCATTCTCTCCTCGTGTGTAAGGCTACAAAGATCAGTGCTGCCAGTTCAGTCATAGCAAAACCAATTTCATCCTTGTTACTATATTCGGTAGCAAGGGGGAGGTTTGTTATGGGAGCACTTACCTGTTCTCAAAGGCTCCTTAACACAACAATGGTAAGCAATTGTATTACTACTTCTTTCAGGTACATTCCACCCCTGATCTGGGGAAAGAGTGGACACATTCAGACTGCCCTTTATGGAAAAATGGGGAGAGTGAGATCACCTCATCCGTATGGACTTCGCAAGTACCTCACGATGCCAGATGGAGCAACAGCCACCTTTGATCTCTTTGAGCCGCAGTCTGAGCATTGCATTGGAGGTCAGTCAAACAGCTGCTGGCTGCATCTAGCTTCTAACCTTGATTCTGTGCTCTGGGGGATGGATGAGGACACTGCTACTTGATTTATCATAAAAGAAAGATATTAATTCTGATGATGGAAAGGGTCTGCTAAGAATGCTAACCAATGTGTGGAGGTTATGAGGCCATTGTGCTGTATACCTATATCTCAGACAGCAGGAGAAACCCCAACAGACTAATTTGTTGTTTGTGTCAAGAGATGGGGAGTTAAGGGTCAGAAGAAATGTTCCATAAACTGTGCCTCAGGTGAGAGGCTGGAAAAGAGAAACTGGTGGTGAGTCTTGTTTGGAGTGCCCTTTGCCTGTTAAGCTGTGGGATCACAGAACAGAGGGTGGCTGCAGGGGGTTCTTCAGAGCCTCGTGTGTATGGAAAAGAAACTACACTATCTCCCCTTTAGAAACAGATTCTTGGTAGTCTTTACTAACAATAGGTGTTTCAAGATCTATATGGAAACAAACTCTGTGTACGTAGGGTATGAAGGAGTCCAGACATGGAGAACTCCATGAAAAAGTAGAAAATCGTGTGATTCCTTACACTATGTATTTATATTCAGAGCGAACGTCAGCTTTCAAGCTCTCACTGTTCCTACTAGTAATAGCAATACTTAGAACTGAGTGACTGTGACTTGACTTCATAAGTATAGTTTACCCCTGAAGTAGCTGACTTCGTTGTAAGCCTGTGACTCCCATTTGGCCTTAAGAAAAAGCAGAGTTCTTAACTGTCAGTGTTGAGATCCTCGTGATATAATGCTGAACTAGAACAGTTACTGTTATCTTTATCACTGAAGAGAATGAGCAGTGCTTTCCTAATGAGGCAAAAACTCAGTGGCTAGAGCTGCTAATGCTGGAGTTTTGCACCTGAAGAGTCTGATAGCTAAGCTGAAGTGCATATGTTAACACTGAATATCATTTACTGTACTTATTTGAATTACAATTACTTTCTTAGTTGATGAAATAATTTCTTGTTAAACTAGTGAATGGTGTCAGCAGGTCAACTATCATTAGATTAGCCACAGAGCAGATGATGGCTAATGTCAGCTGATCAAAATGTCTATGCTTAGAAAAGCTTCATTTTGAAGATCTGTGTTACACCCAACTCTGGAAAGGAAATAAGGGAAAAATAACTTGGTCTTCTTGGTGCATGAAGGAGCAGTGGACTCCAGAGCTTCTACACACTTAGCAGTCACAACAGGTTGTCAGAAGGCAGAACATGTGTAATGTCAAAAACATCCTTCAAAGGGAAGAATTTACTTTTGGTCTCTAGGCAGTGCCTGTAGAACTGTTTGGGCAGCTTTCCCTGAAGTTAGAAAACTGTTCATCTCCTGTAACATGAATTACTTTTTCACATCTGTAGCACTAGAGCTGCCTAGTCTCCTGTCCCATACTGGATTTTTGGCAGACTAGTAGGATTTTTAGCTTGCTTCTGGTATATGGTTTCCCACGGATCTGAAATGGAAACCTTCTGAATCTCTTAATTTGCATGAAGTGACATTTACTTAACTTCTCTCTCTTTCTGTTCACAGAGGATGTCACGATGGTAATCTGCCCTGGGATTGCTAACCACAGTGAAAAGCAGTATATCCGCACTTTTGTTGACTATGCGCAAAAAAATGGGTACAGATGTGCTGTCCTGAATCACTTGGGAGCCTTACCAAACATTGAGCTCACTTCTCCACGAATGTTCACATACGGTAGGTACTTTATAGCAGCTGGGGACTTATTTTCAGACTTGTGGAATTTCTAGGGCTTGATCAGCCTTCTTCAGCATAACACAACTGCCATATCTGAATAAGGGTAATGATTTGGTATTGTTTCCTAGGAACTAAACTGAACTTACATGTGAGGAAGAGGGGGGACTAATACTGGGATTCACTTTTCCTTGTCTCTTCTCCCAGCTCTTACACATGTATCCTATTCAAGGAGGCAGTTTTCTTTCCAAAAAACTTTTTTGGGAAAAAAAAACCCCTCTTGTGGATACTAAGAGCCTGCTTAAATGATTTTAGAGATGTTGAAATGTCAGTTTAATGGAATGCAAAACAAACCTGGCTCTGAAGAATAAACACTACTTCTGAGGCTTTGTAATATGTAATGGGAGGAATTTGTACCAGCCTATCCAGAAAGTACATTTCTATGCTAGGAGGGACACATGAGGATTGGTCCCTGGATATAACACAAATGTAAAGGAACAGCAACAAATCCAGAGTATGACAGTAAAGCTACAGAAGCAGTAGTGCTTAACTGCCATGAATTTGGGCTTTCACCTTCAGTATGAGAAAATATTTCTTAACCTAGAAATTAAAAGGAATAAAGTATTTGGAGCTGTGTTAAGGCTGACTGCAGCTATTCTTAACTACCCTGCTAGTAACATGATCTTTGTAGAATGTGGCTGCCTTGCCTGTGGCCTGATCTGGTTGTTCCTGAGCTCTCACGTCCCTCTTAACGTACCTGTAGATATTTGCAGTAAAGTCAGGAGTCAATTGTGGGTTTAGCAGACTGGTGTTAAATTTTGTATGTTTATGCTGAACTGTATTAAATTTTGAATGTTTATGTTGAACGGCTGAATTGCCAGAATAAAAATATTGTGCTTTGAGATTCCAAATCTGCCAGGCAAATAGGCTGTAATGCTTTGTTGCGTGTTTTATAGTTATTAAATCTAATCTACAAACAATCTGAGAACCCCAGTACTGCCAGAAACTGGACCCCTCAGTGCCTGCAGCCTGTGGGATGCAAGTGGGTATTAGCTGAGAGCAGAACAGATCTGTATAGAGGCTCTTACCTCTTCTTTTGAAGAGGAGATACCCATATGTTTTCTAGGAAGCTGCAGTATCTTTACCTCTTCAGTGGCTAGCAGGGGCTAGCTGACTCTGCTTAAACCCTTCCCTCTGATTCCAGAGAGCACCTGCTTAGTCAGGCTCTGCAACAGTCCACTGAGAGCTCTGTTGTGACAAGCCAACTCTGCATTTCCATCCCCTCCCTGCATCAGCATGGATTTAAGGATCCATGGTAGCCTTGCTAAAAGCAAAGGGGCAAGCTGCTTTCCAGGCACTCCACTTAAGTTCAGAAGTGGCAAACCCCAGGAAGGTAACGTGCACTGTTCTTAGATAGTAATGTCAAGCCCAGAGTTGTCAGATTAGCTGTTGTCATGATTTTTAAGCAAGGTAATTTCATTTTACTTTGGCACCCTGTCAGAACTAATCATGAGCTAAGGTCCACGGGACTCATAAAAGATACATGAACGAATGTGTGAATCAGAGCTCTTAAAACATTATTGTTACTGAAAAGTCAAAGGATAAGAAGCTGAACTTAAAGCACACACACAACTGATGTGTGAAGTAAGAATCCAGGTATCTTGGAAGTTGATTCTTGACTTTGTTCTTATTTTTAGGCTGCACCTGGGAATTTGGTGCCATGGTTAATTACATCAAGAAGACGTACCCTCAGACCCAGCTAGTGGTTGTGGGCTTCAGCCTGGGTGGAAACATTGTGTGCAAATACGTGGGAGAGAGCCAGGCCAACCAGGAGCGAGTCCTCTGCTGTGTCAGTGTTTGCCAGGGGTACAGTGCACTGAGGTAGGTCTGGACTTCTTCATGCTGGTCTCTTCTGGTGGTGCAGGAGGAAGCAGATCTCTGGTAGGGTGCATGTGGAAGGGCAAGGTGAAGAGTGCTGTGTTTATTGTGCATTAAACTGGTCTGACAGACTGCAGCGGGTGGGATGCCACCTTCCTGAAGGAGCAGCCAAGGCTTTGTTGATCTGGCAGCAGAAATAAGCGTTCTCTCAACAATGCAAATAAGTTTTCTGTACCTGGCCAGATACATTCTGGTCTGTGCTTGTGAGCTCTCCTAACTCTGTCTTGTTGCTACAGCATCTTAAGAGGAGGCATTCCCCATGCACTCCTGGTGTAATTAACCAAGCAGGCTGGGTAGCATGACAAACTGCTGAGATGATGCCAGGTTTGCAATAGTTTACACTTTCTCATCACTCTGAGAAATATCCCTTGGTTCACAATAGTTTGTCTGACTCCGGTGTGCTGCTTCATCTGGCAGCTCTGACCTGGGGAGGCTTGAGAGAGACACACAGCTGTACACAGTCACTCCGTGCTCCTCTCTGTGTCACTGAAACAGCGCTGTGGGCTGATGAGGAGATGGAGAGGCACTTGCAACTATGTTATACCATTTAGAAGGTGGGGAGAAGAAGGTTTATAGCCAGAAAGTCTACCTAAAATGTTAATCTGTGGTTCCCCATCTGGAAGTCAAGGCTGTAGGATTTAAAGAGCTGTAATGGCTCCACCTAGTGCTGTAACACATTTACTGATGGAAGATCTGAGTACAGCACTGCTGCTTGAAAAGTGGTGGCTCAACTAATGTACAGTAACTTTCCATGTATGTATATGAAGATTAAAACATTATAACTGGCTAAGCTACTGCTTTCAGTTTTTACTGTCTGTACCTATGGACAACTACTAAGGTGTAGCTGACCTTACAGTAATTTAACTGCATTTTTGAGCCTGGAGACTATTTGAAAAGCAGAAGGGGCTGTTGAGGGTAGGGTATTTGGGTCAAAATCCTTTGGGCAGGTAAAAATGGTGAACCTGTGGCAGCCTGGTGAGGGGCTTGCCACGGAATTTGTCTTCCTAGCCTGTTCAGGGTAGCTGGAACTCTCTTGATACTGCTGATGCTCTGCCTGTACAGGGACAAGTTTGATATTCAGCAGTCTGAAGACACCTTTTATGAGTTAAGCTCTTAAAGGTGAAAGTAAGATGATTTTCTGGAAGCATTAAGATGTGACTAAAAGCTTGATATATACTTCAGTAATATTCCATCATACCTAATCCCTTTTGAGATCAGATGTGACTACTGCTAAAAGTGTATAACCTACAGCTAGGTCCCCATGAGTTCACAGTCTTAAAATCTGAACAGATGTTTTCAGGAACAGTTTTTCTGTTTTGTTTCAAATAAAATGTTCTTGTTTGTCTTGGGGTTCTGGCATGGAGCACAGAGCATGCTTCTGAAGCCAGCTCCTCAATGGCAGCCATCAGACAGGGTTGCAAGGATCACGTCTGGCTGTGGTGCACATGGTTCATCTTCTACAGTTACGCAATATTGTATTTCTCATCTCCAAAATGATGTTGCAAGGAATGCTGTTCGCTAAGCCAATTTCTGTAGCAATGTGTCTTGATGTGCTGGTAGAGTTAGCAAGGCAAGGACAACCTGTTTAAGGATATTCCACTTGGATAGTTGTGTGGAAAAATAACAGCTGCTTGTCTGAGTTTAATTCAAGTCTTCAGTGGGCTGTGTGGATTATTGAGCTCTTGTCTCCACCTGCTGGGTAAATGTCTACTAGCAAATCTCCAATCACAAAACATCTGCTATGCATTATTGGGCAATCAGCAGGAAGGCTTTTCAGATCTGGTGTCTCTCTACCTAATACTACTTCTACTTTAAAAGCTAATTAGCTGAAGAGCTAGGGGAAAGCAACATCAGTAAATATCTACTAAGCAAAAGACAGGATAGGAAGGGCCTTATGCCCTTGTTATAGAAGTGGGAGGGAAGGAGGTACAAAGCACCTCCAGGTGTAATGATTAAGCCTTAGCCTTCCTGGGCTTGATCTGGTAGGTTAAAATAGCTGGCCTCAGCCCTCTGGGCTACATGAAAGTGGATTACTGTGGTAGACATAACCAGTTAGTTTGCAATTCCATTTTCTTCATATATTATCTTGTACAGCCTTTATCCCCCAAATAACTTTAGGAAGTAAAGGAAAAAAGTGGTAGTAAGGTGAACCAAGGGTCTGAAATATGAAAGCCTTTCCAGAGTGTTAAGCATGAGTCCCATAGATGGGCATGATAAAGTAGCAGCAATACTAGGATCTGCCAGAAGAATGAGACTCTTAGTTTAATGAATTAACACAGAGTCTGGGGAATTTGTTCCCGAAGGCTAAATGGGGACACGTCTCCTTATTTCTTAATCTCTGCCTGCACAGGCTTGATTCTGCTTCTTGATCTTGCGGAATGCATCTTCACCATAGCTACAGGCTGTGGGGAGAGTCCTGAGTTCTGAAACCTGTGCAGTCTTCAAAATACCAGAAACTGCCTTTTTTCAGTGCTTGCAGCCCTTCATATTAGGAGCACTACTGTACACTACAGGAACTGCAAGGAAACATAGTAGCTTTAACTTCAAACATCTTGTAAAAACTTAATAGGTTTGCTTGGAAAATCTTTTGTGAAGAAATGTGCATCTTCCGATCTTCCTTCATTTCCCTGCCCTGGCATAAACATGGTAGGTATAGTCTGGCTAGACAAAAAGATAAGGAAGTGGGTGGGGTGTTTTTTTTTTTAAATCCATATTCCAGCATGAATTACTACAAGAAAACATAGCTTGCTTTTGCTCTGGTAGGGGATTTGTAGGTTGTGGCTTGGCAGGTTGTGCTAAATCTGCTGTAGTTCTCATTGTATGTTAATGTTTAAATGGTAGGAGTACTTCAGTAGCTGAAACTTCTCCCAGCGTTCTTAAGTTGCTCAGTAAATGATAGTGTGTTTCCTCAGTAACAGCAAACCTGCTAAGAGTAAAGCTATAACCTGGCCATGACCCTGCATAGCAAAGGAGTGCTGGTATCTGGCAGAGCTCACAGAAGTCTGGATGACTAATTCTGTTTTAACAACAGATAAGCTGTGAAGTGCTATTTTGCTTTGAGAATAGGTAAAGACTTCAACTCCAATGCCACTTGCTGCTGCAACTAGTATTTATTTCTACAGCTTCTGCCAATGAAGCTAAAACAATAATAGTGTCTGTACGTATTGGAAACATTCTGCATAAATTATTTCCTCGGCAGAGCTAATACATACAATAGACAACACTTTGTTCAGCAACAGGTTTTAGTCCTTTTCTTGGTAGTCCTATTAGGTAAATTACATCCAGTTTATGCAAAGGGACAATAAAATCTTGTCAGTGTTGCAGATCTTGACTTATGGCTCTTAAATGCTCTGATCAAAATAGTTAATTGCATTGTGCAAAACAAGACTGCAGATCAGTTTTCTGATACTGCCAAGCTTCATTGAAGTGGAAGTCATTTCCTGGAAAAGGTTAAGCTGTGGCAGGGAAGGCCTGGAGATTTGTTTATATGGCCTCTAGGCTAAAACAGTGTATTAATTTTATCTTTCAAGATCTCCATTAACAGCTTTGATTGTTCTGCTGTGTGTTTTTTTTTCTAGGGCACAGGAAACTTTCATGCAGTGGGATCAGTGTAGAAGATTTTATAATTTCCTCATGGCAGACAACATGAAGAAGATCATTCTCTCTCACAGGTACTTCAGTACATTGCTTACACTGATAGTATTGATTGGGTCAATTGCTATATTGGATTTGTTGTCTTATTACTTTAAAATAGGACTCCTGAAAGATTATGTACCAGTTCCTTGCTTGGTGTTCTTTAGATGAACCAACAGAGAAGGGGAGCCCAATCTCATTCATATACTGTAAAATTTGCAAGTAAACTTTGGTGATCTAGTTAGAAGAAAGCAGGCTTTGTGCTCTTTCTGCCTTCTGAGGAGGCTTGCTTAATGAATAAACAAAATGCGCACAGGAAAACATTTCAATTAGACTTCAAAGTGGAGTATTCTGCATCTGTTTCACTTCTAGCCAAAGAGTTCCCTATTCAAGGAGCCTCTTGTTCTGCCACCTACCTGAGGTAGGATTAATCTTCAAGATCTGCTGTATGAGGCTGATGCTTATCAAATAAGCAAATAGTCAAGCTGTAGCTCTGGCTTCTAGCTGTTCCTTTAGACAGAGCCATGTAGCCAGCAAAATACTTAGTGTTGCTCTTCCTGGAGTGCAAGTATAGATGTAGGATCCCTGTGCTGCTATTGTGATCTGTGGCTCTTGCATATCAAAGGAGTGTGTGTGTTAAACAGGTGACATGATCAATTTGTTTCTTCCATCAGAAGTTCTCTGGGTGGTACTTCCTAGAGCAATAACTGTGTAAGTACCTCATCTGTGTAGATTTGAAGTTGCCTGACTAATGAAAAGGAGAGGAATATCTAAGACCCGTTCCAGTTAAGAGCATGTATTGCTTGCAGACTTTTGGTTTATTGTTTATACTCCTGCGCAGTATGAAACACTTGTAGAAGGAATTAGGACAGCTGACATGTAGAATGATCCACATAATTCATTCCAGATTGACAAATATTTAGGCAACTTGACCAAATTTAACATGTGAAGTTAGGTAAGCCCCTGTTAAGAGGTACTTAAATTCATAACCCAGAAAAAAAACAGGGCTGGCTTGAAGGTGAATCTGTTAAGTAAACTTTCTTCCATAATCACTTGTGCTCTAAGGCAGCTCCCCCAAATCAAACCTAGCCTCCCTCCTGCTCTGCCCTGCAGCTGCCTCTGAAAGGGAGTAAAAACCCCCTTCCAACTTGTGGGCTTTTGTTCTGTTTGCTAGGGGAGCAGTTTGTTCTGGTAAAGAAACACACGCTCTCCTGAGAGCGATAACTAATTATGACAAGTGTCCATAGTAAATAGTTTTCTGCTAAGGTAATGCCCCAAGTAATTTCTGTGTGAGCTAACTTCATGTCTGTTCTGGGGAGACTTTAGGACCAGATGGTGAAGGAGATGCTGTGCCCAGGACTGCTAGTGCTCTTGCCTAAGCCACCCACAGATTTGGTTTGAAGCCAAAGGACCCTCCCTCCAACCCAGTCTCTGTTCTAAATACCCTTAGTGCTCTCTGTTCTGGAAAGATTCTTTTTAGAGGCCTCATGCAGTCTTTCAGTATAACAGGAAGACATTTTTTTTTTTTTTCCTATAAAGAGGCTGCTAGGGTCTCTCTTATGCCTTGTTGCAAAGGGAGGTGGACAAATAAGCTGTGCTTGTTCCCAAGAAAGCCTTGTGTACATATAGCCCACTTCCATTCTTATCTTGTCAGACTTTGTAAACTTAGTTGTCCTTGAACAGGTCGTGGCTTTGCTGCCCTTATTATGTTGTTTGGATGTTTTTCTTGATGTTACTCTTTCAGACAAGCTCTTTTTGGAGATAACATGAAGAAACCACAAAGCCTGTCAGATGCTGATCTGAGCAAACTCTATACAGCAACATCCCTTATGCAGATTGATGATAACGTTATGAGGTATGAAGGGTGATTCTCTGATCCTATGTAAATCTCTGAAAGTACCTTCTCTTTCAAGTGTTGCTCTTGCATGCCCCTTGCTGTGCTTGTAGCAATCTGCTGAAATACAGTGCTGACAACCTCAGAAATTCTTCCTTGCCTTCACACTGAATAAAACTTATCCCCAAAAAAAACCTTACTGTTGACAGTCACAGCTTCTGTAGAATCATCCAGGAGGCATTTATTTATCAGTAAATCTGAACCTGCATTCTTCAATAATGTAGGAAGAGGGCAGCTCTGCTGCAAGCTATCACAAAAAAACAGTGCAGGATATGGAGAGCAGCTCAGAACTGCTCATGAATGTCCTTAGGCCTGCTTGAATTTTGAAAAAAATCTCCTCCCCAAAAACCACTACTGCTTTCTCAATAAATATTAGAGTTGGCTGAGATAATACAACCTTTTTTACTTGTCATATTAACACCTAAATTAAGCGCTCTGCTTTATTAAGCAGATAGCCTGTTACTACCCATGTCCTTGAAAACAATATAGCACTTCCTTCAGTGGCAGTGTTCATACCATGGCATGTTCTGTATTGGGCATTTATACCTTTCCAAAATTAAGCTGTAAACTGTCACCTATACAGCTATAATACTATTGGCAGACTGGAGTATTGCTGGCTGCTTTTAAAAGCCATTCCTAGGGAAATATCACTACTCATCCCTCATCCCTGAGGCCTTTCTAATTTGGGCCAACAGCTATGTTGTCTCTTATGTGGGGAAAAAAAAAAAGGCACTTGAGTATAGGTTTACTGAATTCTTGGTTTGGGATGGAATGCTAAGGATTTTGCAAAGAATTGGAACCATGGTGAATTCTGGGTGGCTTATAGACTGGCCCTTTTGTCCAGTATGTTTGAGGTTCATAAACTGTGGTGGTTTTGTATTTGAAAAGGCTTTCAGATAAAGATGAACAAGATCATAACTTTTTTTCTTTCTTCCATATGTACTTAAGTGAAGTGGGATACTTTAAAAGAAATGCCCTGAAGGCTGCTAGACTTCAACTTGCATGTTTAACTTGCCCATGCTATCACAGTGTTTGAGTAAGCACAGAAAGCATAGAGGCATATGCTGCCAGAAGTGAGTTTTGCAGGAAAAAAAAAAAAAGGCATTGTCCATGAAAATTGAGGCATCATTCCTGTCTCTGCATGTATGCCCTCACGTGAAAGTAAGTGTCGCATGGGTACTAGAAGCAGATGATTGCAATGACAATCTTCTCTATTTCAGGAAGTTCCATGGCTACAGTTCCCTGAAGGAATACTATGAAGAAGAAAGCTGCCTACATTACTTGCACAGGGTAAGCTCCTGCAATAGAGACCGCTCTTGTACCTTCATTTTCCTACAAGAGAAAAAAATGCACTGTGGTTTCTGTTGTTGATACCTAGACCCATCTGTCTTAGCTGGGATTTTCAGTAATAATCAGACACAGTATATTGGACTGGGATTTCAGTTCGTGCTACCTCTAATACTGGGGCTAAATTCTCTGAGCTCTTAAGAGCTTATAACTGACAGGTAGTAGCACCCAAGTGATCTAGCTAAAGCCAGGCATTCAGCTGAACTGGTCTGAGTGTATGAGATTAAGGTGGGAAATGTGTGGTGGCACAGATCCTGCAGGAAGAAAGATTTAGTAGATATTGTGGAAAAGACTTGGGATGCTATTTTGCAGGCAGATGCTTAGCAGACCAAAGCTTTGCAGAAGTGAAACTGGAAGATTAATTCCTCCTTGATCTGCTGAGCCAGAGGATGGAGACATTCCAAGGGAGTTTCCTGGACTTTAACCAAGGTGTCCATAACAGAGCTGGCACTAGCTGCCTGATGTGCAAAGCAATACAGAGCAAAAAAAAAAGGGTGTACCTGTCTGAATTTTGAGAATGGGAAAGATCTGTGACTTGATCTGTATTTGCTCTGGTGCACCTCTGCCCCTTTCATACGATTGAGTTGAAAAAAATGCTGCGAAGTACTCCATTGATGAAAAGCCACCAGTCTCAAATTTCAACTGTTTCTGCTTTTCTGATGCTTCTGCAGTTGCAGGGCAATTCTGAAATAAGATGTCTTAAGTTAAGCTAAGATGCTTTTACAGTTGGTAGAGTGAAATTTCAATACCAACTCCTTACTGCTTTTTTCCTTTCCTGCCATCTTTCTTGATGCAGATCTATGTTCCTCTTCTGTTGGTTAATGCTGCTGATGACCCTCTTGTGCATGAGAGTCTTCTATCAATTCCAAGAGCTCTTTCAGGTATGTTGAAGCAGTCTCCTCCAGCTGTGCATATTTGTGTACCTGCAGCTTCCTTATCACATAATGATACATGATTTCAAAGCAGCTTGACTTGCCTCCTTACATCTGTAATCCTGTGGGAAGTGTACTAAGCCTCTTTAAATCACCAGTTGCTAGAACTAATAAGGCTAACCTTGAGCAGGAAGAACTTGAGTCCTTTAAGGCACCATCTGCTGTTTTGGCTTGTGTTGATAGCCAGCGGGTTGCCAGCAGGTTACATTCAGGTTACATTCTTGAATGGAAAAACACTTCCTCATGTCTTCATTCCTCACTGGGATTTAGTAGAAAGGTGAGGAGTTATAGTGATAGCCTTGATCAAGCACAGATGAACAGCCCCCTTTGCTGATGAAGGGGGGGGGGTCATATGCATGGCTATATTATTTGGTACTGAACTAGGATCTCTCCCTTGAAAGGAGTACTGTGAGCTGTCTTCAGCCAAGAAAAATAAATCACCTTTAGAAGCTCAGAAGAGGGAGCTGCCTGCTGCTTCATCACACACATAGTGGGTGCACATGGATGGAAGCAGGGTTAATTGATCCACAGCTGCTTCCAAACAGAAGCAAGCACAGGGGTTTTCTCACTCTACATGGAACAAGGTGGCTGATATACTGTTAGCTTTAGTGCAGCTAGACAAGATGCTAACAGTCCTAGTTACAGTGTACATGAGTTAAAGATGTTCACTTGTTAAAGAGTGAGCATTCTTAAAGCAATATAGGTACTGCTATAAGGGCCCAATCAACAGCATTTCTTGGGCAACCTTCTTGTACTGGCTGGGATTGGTTCCTGCAGACTGTTCTGTGAAGCAATAAAGTTATGTGCCTTGGACTTCAACCATGGCCTTTGTCTGTGCATTTCTGCCTTCTATGCGTGGTTGCTCCTTTAGTTCAGTTGCTATACCAAGGATAAAGTTGACCAGCACAACTTAAGATGGTTTAATTCTCAGCTCCAAGATGGTAACCTTCTGAAACTTTGTGCCTCTTTGTTTTACAGAGAAACGGGAAAATGTCATGCATGTGCTGCCTCTTCATGGAGGCCACCTGGGATTTTTTGAGGGGTCTGTACTATTCCCGGAACCTCTTACCTGGATGGATAAGCTTGTGGTGCAGTATGCCAATGCCATCTGCCAGTGGGAGAAGACAAAGTCTCACTGCTCAGACACAGAGCAAGCTGTATCTGGCCAGGAATAATTGACCCAAAGACTGGATCACTTCGGTATATGTTCCCCCTTTGGGAACATCTTGTTCCCTCACCTGCTGCTTCAGGTTTCCATTCTCCTTGATATATCCTATGGCTGGGGTTTGATTGCAATGTTTTCTTCCAAAGTGGAGTTAAAGCAGAGGTTAATATCTGGTCAGAGCATCTTTGCATATATAGTCACGTGGGTTTGTAATTTACTGCTCTGCTTGAAGAATTAGGTTGCTTAGTGGCTTGTTACAGGGTTACTGAGCTAAAGACTGCTTGCTTTAATATAGCAGAAGCTTCAGATGTCAAAATCTCTTCACCTGCTGGTCAAACTTGATCTGCATTTTTTTAGGTGTAGATGACAGGGTAACTATGGCTCTGCTCTTCTCTGTCCCAGTGCTGGAAAAACCCTGTACCAAGCCACAAGCCAGTGAGTGGTTCGATCTGTAAGCCACTAAAATGTGGCTTGGAAAAACAAATGCTTGACTGCAAGTGGAGTTCCAGCCTTGCACCATCTCAAGGGAGCCTTTTACTTCCTAAGAATGCACTTACACAAGTCAATCAGTTTAAAAATACTTAACTTTTCCATGCTTCAGCTATCTTTGGATTGGGGTGTCTTTATGCTGGGACTCAAGGTAGAGAAAAGCTGCAGGCTTGTAATACCAGTTAATGTTTCTGTGTAAACATGTTCTCACACCAAGACTACATCATCTTTGCTTCTTTTTAAATGTAGCCATCTTTTTAGCACTGGATTACTTTTTTTTTTGTTGTTGACCCAGGGCTTTTTAAAGCTGCTTCTGACTTCCAAATGGAAACCCATCTTCAGGATCTTTGTGAGCTCAGTCTGTCTTTAAGAATATTTCATAGAGAATTATGCACTCTGTTAGGGATTAATTTGTTGGGGAGGAAGGTATCTATTTAGATTTGCTCCCTTTATGTACCCTTATGTCAATCATGAAAGTTCTTCCCCTTAGCTTTCAAAGCATCAAGTGGTTTTTCAAAGCATCAAATGATTTTGACACATGACTTGCCTTACAGTTGATGGAGAACAGGATGTCTCTAGCCCTGTGCAACTAAAATGATATCTTTGCATGGCTAACTACTTCCATATCTATGTGAATATTGTAGGATTACTGGCTCCAGTAAGACACTGGGCTCTTCTTCACTTGAATTCATTTTCCACACCCAGACATCCTCTTCTAGTTTTAATGCGCAAAGTGAAGTGTGAAAGCTGTTTGCAGGAAAGATGCCTACTTGCTTGTGCTTCTCCCTCAAGTGGCTGTTACAGTCTGTGCCAAGATGGTTATTAAAGACTCTAGTCTATCCCCTGGAAGGAAAGTTGTCCCATGACAATCTGGAGACTGGAACTTTGGTCAATCTTGCTTTACTGTTTGTTCTGTCAATATTGTAGTCTCTCATTAGTCCATCCTTAGGTCTTCTTTATTAGTGTCAGTGAAGTTCTTTTCCTGTCACACTTCACACATCAATTAGCACTTTATTGCTTCAGCCTTGGTCTGCATTCCAGACACTTTATGGTTTAAGGGTGAAACAAGCTGCAAGACTTCAGTCTGATAATATAGGGGAACAAGCCTTCTGGACTGACCTGTTCTTGAACTTCAGTAGGTTAGAGAGGTGGGATTTTCTTTTAATAAAGCAATAATTAACTATTGTAGCAAAGGTGCATTATCATATCAGGAAATTCTTTTCATTTGCCTTAGGCCAGATACCCTGGCCTGTTACAATGAACTGTGGATATCTGCACGTTCTCCTTGTTAGTAAATCCAGGTTTCCTTTTTTCTTCAAAGAAAAGATGTGACTAAGTAAAGCTATAGCAAGACTTGGCCATGCTTGTGGTTGTTCCTTAAGAACTATTTTAGGGCATCAGTTAGCAAGGATATTCTTAACTGATGGATATCTTGTCTCTGTGTTGTTATCCTCTTATTCATACTGCATCTGTATATCACTAGAATCTGTCATAAGAGACATTTCAGATTTTTGCTTAAGTAGCTGTTCATGTAATATTCATTGGATATGACTTAAATATCTTCAACAGAAGTGGAGCGTAAACAACACTTGTACACATCAAATAGATACAGTATAAATTTAGTTGTGTAGGGGGATATGGTTTTTATCTCCAGTGGGGTACAACTTTAGAAGTGTTTTGACTTTCATAGTATACTACAGCTGTAACTTACACAGGTCATGGCTGTCTGCCTTGAAACAAAACTGCCCATCCCATTCTTCATGTGTCCTTCCTCAATCCTGCTTTGCTGTGCTGAGTATCAACTTCAGACAGCTCTAGGGGAACAGAAGTTGTCTTTCGTTCCAACACCACTGTTGAGGTGAAGAGCCCATCATATGACCCAGCATGTGGATACCTATGAAAGCAAGGTCAGTGTGCATCTGACCTCTTTTGAGAACAAAATATCTGCCTTCCTTATCTCGAGAACATTATCAAAAGCATGTGTGCTCTGCCCACCTCCCCAAGTGGCTGAAGCTCTGTCTTCCTCCCCAGGACCCCAGGCTGGCATAATAGTTCAGTTGTTGACTGCCACAGAACACGAAAGCCAGGAGTGTGAGAACTGACTGGGTAATGTCTGGGAAGATTAATGCTGAGGCAAAGCAAGTGTTTTGCCTCTGCTTTTTGGCCAAGTCAAGCCAGTTCCTCTGAAAGCAGAGCTTCATCATGGGAAGCTTTTTCCTGGAAAAAATTTTCCTCCTTCCATTTTGTAAAGATCATTCTTGATGGACCAGGCTTTCAAACAGGGTTTTCTATTTCTTGAGGTGTGAGGGAAATTACCTTCTTGTCAAATCTACCTTAGTTTTAAACTGATTTTATTACAGTAGATGGCCAGTCAATCCGTGACCCATTTTTAAGCAAGTCTCCTAAAATGAGGTGAGCACCTGGGCAGTTCTTAAAGGAGCAGGAGCTGTAGCTTTGCCTAATTAAGTAGAAATTCTTTTTTTTTAAAGTTGCAATGTCTTCTCGAGGAATACTCCTTCCTGCCCCCAACCCAAGCCTTCATACTTCAGAAGTGCTGGTGCTGTGGACTTTCTGAAACTCTCAACTACAGAACCAGTATGGGTCTCTGTCTTGCTCTTTTGACCTGCTTTTGGACTTGAATCTACAGCTGTTCAAACCACTTGTGACTTGATAACTAATTCCTAGCCTCTTTGGGGAAAAAGAGCTTTTGTCACGGCTTGCTTGTGCAAGGTTTCTGGAGCTGAGGTTCAGCTTACTATACGTGTTGTGGGTGGAAGCAGTGAGGGATAAAAAAACCTATTCTCTCCATCTTGCCCAATTTGATGCTGCTTTCAAAGCCAGACTCATGGTGTCTGACTTACAGCAGTAACTTAAGGATCTTAGTGAAGTAGGAGAGGAGAAAGTTAAGCTGCTGCGCATGTTATCTACAGACCTTCAGAGAAAGGAATTGTGTATTAAATCTTGCTGCTGACAGTGACTGGCAACTGCTATTTAGTGCTAGTACCCCAAGATGCACGGGACTTTGTCCAATCCTCATCTGCAATACTCTTCTCTCCCAAAAATAAGGCAGTAGTAGTCTTGTGATAGGGGCAGCTGGTTTTCATTTGCCCAGTGAACAAAATGTTAAATGCAATCTGAATTTTTAAGTCTTGGAGGTGAAGGTGTCTTTTTTTCATCTCTTGTCAAGACACATGAGACTGTTGAAGTGTGTACTTGTAGATCCTTACAGTATAGTCTGATATTGCAGTTCAAGATTACAGTATGATGAATCTGTCATGTGCTCTGTTTCATTTCAAACTGGGATTAGAAAAAGCATTAGCAGAGTTCTTCTCCAGGTAGTCTCATGTGGCATACACACCTCTTTCCTGTCACTGGATGTAAGTAGCATGTGAACATAAACCCCAAGGACACTCTCAATCAGAAAGCAAGTTGCAGATCTGTTACTCTTTGATGGTTAGGCTAGTCCAACCATCACCTTTGTCAGTGTCTGGAGAGATCTGAAGACTGTAGGTGAGCAGCTGGGACTTGCTCTTACTGAACCCAAGGAACCTGCAGCTACATCAGATCTGCCAGAATTTTTAATGGTCCCTTGGTTAGCTTCTAAATTGAAAGTCTTTTCAAGTGGGTCTGACAGTGTTGTAGTAGTACTGTAAAGACAGACACTTGAACTTCCCTGCAGTCTTTTTCCTGAGTGCTTTTCTGCAGTTCTTGTTTATGAAGATCTAGGTTACAAAGACAGGGCATTAAGCAAAGATGTTGGGAACTGCTAGCTCCAGTACTGAATTTAGCCAAGCTACCTGTGTCTCATCTGTCCTGGGTCTGTCACAAGTTCCTAGACCACTGCCCTCTGACACATGGTGCCTTGCCCTTTTTCTCTTCCTCCCTTGACATCAGTATATCTAGAGACTTCAGTAACAGCTCTGTCAGAACTTTTGGGGCTTTGCTTTTTAGTAAATGAATTTTCAGACACTAGGTAGTGGGACATCTCTGGCAACATACACTGTACGGGTGTGTGCTGCTTTAAAGGACCTTTGTGGGCAGCCAACAACTAGCTAGTCTATTTCAAAGCTTAACATAAAAATGTATATAAGCAGTAGATCATTTTCAGCTCTCTGCTCCTCTAGCAGTAATAATTGAGTCATAGAAGGAGGGTTTGCTTTGCTTAATGTATGACTTGTTACCTTACAATCCCAAAGTTCTTGTGTCTATTAATTTTCCAGCAGCATAGCTGGAGGTAGATTGCCTAAGTGACTACATCTCAAAAGAAAGAGCAGAATAGCAACTTGATGATTTAATTGCCAAACAGTTTAGTCAGCTGGACTGCTTCCAAGTTTTTCTAGAAATATTATGCCTGTCTGGCGCTTGGTGAAATTCTTCACAGCCTTTTTCCAGGAGACCAGAAAAGGCCCTGGCCTTGTGCTGCATTTATAAGTCGTTTGTTGTGAAGAGCATCTTGTTTCTGGCTTGAGTCATGTTCTGTGGGTCTCTTGGTTGGGTAGGTCCCGGAGCCACAGTGACTCAAAGCAGTGTCTCCTTCATGGCTTCTAGGTGAAAAGCAAACAGCCCTTCTTGGTGTGAGGACTTTCTGAGTTTTCTTCAAGCTTAGAATGCCTCAGAGCAACGCCAGCCCAAGAGAGGGATGCCTTGTAACTGGACCCCTTTTATCACCAGGAGTGTCTGTTATACTGGCCTGGACTTTCTCAGTTGTTGGGGGAGTTTGAGGATAAGTGACACCAATGAGTCAAAGCAGTTCCCAGCTTTCCATGCTGTGGAGGAACGGTTTCTAGGGTTATCCTGAACCGTTGCATTCTGAACAGCTGTATTCTTGGTTTTGCTGGTTAATCAATGGACACAAACACTGCAATCCGGGGCAGCATTTACCAGGTTGGATCTGCTAGTATTGAACAGCTTTTTTCAAGTCTATCTGATAACACTCTCCAAAAGTTCCAGCCCCTCATCACTTGTGGATAAAACTTTTCTTTCCTTCTCACCCAATGGCCTTGCCTAACCCAGGTAGTTTTAATGCCAGTAAGTAGCCCGATCCCCCAAGGTGGCTCTACACAAAGCCTTTTTGTTTCTGTCTGAATGATAAGCTCGCATTGTTTCTCTCTGGTCACGCAAGAGCTTTGATTAGATACAGAACTTTCTTCTAGGATCTCTACTGTAGCTCTATTGGGATGTTGACCCTTCTTATGGATCCTGACAACTGGGAAGTCTTAAAATAAAAAATCCAAACAAAATCTGCTTGAGTTTAATGTAACTAAACCCTACTGCTTAGCCCAAGTCAGCAGCTTTCCGAAAGAGCGTGTTTCCTCATTGTGTTACTTGACAGCTTGACCATAATTCCCAGTTGACAGTTCACTAGACATTTTTCTTGAGAAAGCATAACCTCTTTCTCTGAAAATCCCAAGCTGAAGAGGTGTGTGGAAAGCTCAAGAGCAGACCTGTGCCCTTCTCGTTTTGCCCATGCAGCTGTTAGAACAGGCTAAGTGACTTCTAGTGTTCTTGGTGAGCAGTTTACCATGAAGATACTTTCAAATTGGCAAAATTATACTCTGGAACCACCTCTAAATACTGCCCTGGAAGAGCTTGTATACTGAGACACCCTCCCTGCTACCATGTTCTGAGTCAGATTCTCTGGAGCTGACAGCTGCAGGGGCGATGATTTGCAACTAGCAATGCAATTTTTCTATATCTGCTGATGTTTACCTTTAAAATTATATATATAAATATATATAAAACAATGTCTCTGATTTTTTTTCTTTCAATTTTTGTTCTTCTGTGTGGTGTAAAATGGAGGTCATTGTAAAACAAAATGTAATTTTGTTATCTTTGATTCAGTGGGATTTCTTTATTTAAAAATAAAGGACTTATTGAAGTCAGTGCTACCAGTTGTGATGGTGTGTGGTGTTACTGGGTGATGAAGTCTGTCACTCTTGACAGGTAAAGCAGCCATGCTTTCTTACTTCCTCTGCAGTGGGGAGAAGATCATCTGATGAAGATATATTGGTCCAGCAAGCTAATACCAATTTAAAATGCAACTGTCACACATATATGCAACTGGGTCTCAACATGTTCCCTCAGTTACAAGATTTGGATTATCTAAAGGTGGATCAAGAGCAGCCCTTTAGCCCCAGCCTTTACATGTGAATTAGTAATAGGTGTTAGTTTCTGTTAGCTAGTGCTGTCTAAAACAAGTCTGTCTTGGGGAAAAATCTGTCATATCCCTGTGGTATCCACCAAGGCAGGAGTTGGCTTTCTGCTCCCTCACTGCCAGACAGGACAGCTACTCCTGTTTCATGAACTCTGGTGTTGCCTCTTTCAGCATAGTTGTTGGCTATTCTAGTGGTAAATGCGAGGGCTCTAATTGTTTTAAGAAAGGTGAATGAACCCCTCTGAGGACTGCTCTGAGTGCTGCTCTAAGCCTTTCCTAGCTGCTTTTTGTCTTACGAACCAGAGAGGTCCTTGATGCCATTCTGGTGGAGAATAGAGGTGGCACCAGCTTAAAAAGCTGAATGCCTGTCCTGAAAATATTGAAGAGCAGATATTTTTGCCAGTGGGCAAGAGCCTGTTCTGCCAGTCCTGTGTCAGCCCCCAGGTTCTCCCAGGATTGTGAGGTTGCTGGCTGGAGGAATCTTCCAGAGCTAGACCTACAGCTGTGCCAGGACTATGAGCTGAAGCAGGATCCAGGGCTTATCTGTGACCCTTCCAGCAGCATGTGGAAGGACACTCCTCTGGGACAGCAGCTTCCCTGGAGCATGCAGCAGAGCTTTTGGCTCATGTGGTTCTGCAGAAATCATCATCTGTTGGTTTTCTCTACTTGAGAGTGAGTAGATTTCCTAATTTTTCAGCTGCTGGAAGAAGAAACATACAACAGCACCTCTGGCCAGGACACTGACATCTTTTTCTATGGAAAAGCCCTGCCAAAAGCACTACTTGACTGCCACTAAGACCTCACCAGTGTGGTTGGTTTTTTTTTTAACTTACAGACCAAGCAAGACAGATGTGGAGGGTAACTGGTAGCGGTGGCCTGTTTGGGTGGCTGGGCTGGGCCAGGGCTGTTGCTGCTTTTTCCCTGTAATGAGAATTGCTCTGTGGGAGGCAGTGTTTTGGGCTCCATCTCTAGTTTATTAGCCATTGCGACTTAGCTGTTACTCCAAAACTCCTTCCTGGCTTTTTCAGAGCCACTGTGGGGGAAAGCTGAGGCCAGCATAGGTTATAGTACCTGCTCTGCTGTTCTCTGTCTCCTCGTTAAAGCAAGCTACTTGCTGAGAATTTGTCCCAGCAGTGGTGAGCAGCCCCAGGGACCTCCCAAGAGCTGTGACTATCCTGCTCCAAATCCCAAAGGCAGCGGTGTGGTTGGTGCTCCTGTCTGTGCGTATGGGTCTTTTTTTGTCTTTTTCTGTTTTTACAAGTGAGCTGCAATTGCTAAGTCTCCCAGGCAAGCTGTGCTGTTGTGTTTGCACTGGCCTGATGGTTGTCGGGTTCTCACACGTGGTTTTGTTGGGACAGCTCCAGATGCTTCCCAGTCCCGCGGAGAGCACTGCACAGTAAGGAGCCAAACGCAGCAGAGCGGTGCCTTTCGCTCTCCCCCTGGGCTCTCGCACAAGGCTGGCACAGCCTCAGGCTGGGTCTTCCCATGCACAGACTAGCTGTGCTGCTGCGGCTGGAGAAAACAGATTTAACCCCAGTTGCCTCTGCCCAGACAGGCCCCATCCTCTACACAGCTTTGGAGCCGATGTCCTGTTTAATTTGAGCCTGAGCCAGTGCCCTGATGAATGCGGCTCTTGTCAGCACCCTCCACCTCGGCTGGCTACGGGTGGGGGTCTGGTCTTCGGGATGGTGAAAGGCGCCCGTGTGGAGCTGGAAGGGAGGGAGGGAGAGAGGGAGGAAGGACAGGGCACACTGTGGGACTAGGTTGACAGAGAAGAAAGTAACCTGGGCAGAGACCAGCAACTTGCTCCTCTCCAAGCCCTACAGCTGGCCACGGGAGGAGAAGGTGGTCTGGAAACAGGTATCTGATCAGCTCTTGGAAGAGATGCCTGGTTCATGAACCAGAACAGACTGCCCTGCCTGGGACACAGCTACTTCTGCCCCACTCCTCCCTGCCCTGGTCCTGCTGATGCCACATTAGCAAGGGCTAATTAGCATTAGCATCAGGCACAGCTCAGTTTGCTGGGCAAGGACCGTCCTCTGCTGTCCGTGGTGGTTCTTGGTGGGGCTTCCCTGACTGAGCTCCCTCTCATGATGTAGGAGAAACAGCTGTGCTGAGACTTTTGGAGGATTTAAGAGGGTATATTCTGCTTGTCTTTTGCTGTCCTGTGGTTAAAATCCATCTCCCAGTCTTAGTGGCTGCTGCAGTCTCTGTTTCTCCTCCCTGCCTGCCTGGCTGAGCAGGAATTAGTCAGAGCTAGCCCTGCACGGTGCCCTGGTTGAATTCATGTTTGCATCTTTTGGGCTGTTTTCTCTTTCCTGGTTAGAGCAGATGACGGAGAATTGGGGGTCCAAGACCAGCCAGGGGTGGCTCATTCTGAGATGCAGGGAGGGTGGAGGTGACCAGTTTCTTGGCCCCTGTGCCAAAGGGCAGTCAATGATGAGGGGACAGTGCTGACACTCCTGGCCTCCTTAGATCCTGCAGCACACCCAGGGCCTGAGCCCGAAAAGCTGCACCCCTGACCCTTACCACATGTCACAAGGGACCCCAGAGCTCTGCTGTTAAACACTTTTATTTCTCTCTTGCTGTAGCCCTCCCTTCCCAGAGCAGAAACTCTCCTTGTCCTCCCACCACAGCTTCAGGGCGTGCTGTGGCAGAGAGCTGGTGGCCTCCTTTCTCTGCTGGCTCCCGAGGGAAGGATGCTCTGCCTGGGAGGGACAGGGCTGCCAGGCAGCCCGCTGCAAGGTTTGGGGAGGGACAGGCATGGAGCAATGCGCCCAGAGCGCCTCATCATGAGCAGTCATTCAACCAATGCTACGGTAAGGAGGTGGTTGGGGTTAGAGGGCCGCCTCTGATCCTATTTTACAGGGGAGGGGGATTGGAGCCTGGTTTAGAGAGCCGTGTCTTCAGCCTCGATGCGGGGCCCAAAGAGCTGCTCTGCAATTGCTTTGCCATCATACTTGGGCAGGGTGCCACCAAAGTCTGCCGGCAAGATGTCAGCGTCGATCTCCTGGTAGAAGGACTCCAGCTCCTCCCCGTGCACAAATACCTGGTGGGACACAGGAGCGACCCTCAGCAGAGGACCTGGGTGACTCTTCCCGGTCACTGTTCCACCCAGGGACATGCTTCTGCCTCTGGGTCCTTTTCCCACACTCACCCTTTCCAGCAGTTTGCTCTTCAGGAACGGTTTGACCACGTTGTAGGTGGTGGTGAAGTACCAAGGCTGGTGGATGAAGTGGACGGCCTTGAACCGCGCTGGGAAGGAGTCCTAGGATCCCAAACCCAGACACAGATGGTTACAAAGGGTGCTGGCCACGCAGAGCTGGGCAGGCAGCAACGGACACCCCGGCACTGCTGCAGCTCCCCTCACCCAATCTCCCCTTCTCTCTGGTGGCCCCTTTCTTGCTCTGACCCATAGGATCAGCTGTCCCAACCCCAGGAGCACCAGGGAAGCTGAAGAACCTCACAGATGGTTCACTGTCCCACTCTAGGCAAGTGCTCCCACTCCACATTTCTGCCTTCCTCCTCCCCTGGGGAAAGCTGTCTTTAGCCTCTGGTCCAAGGGCAGAAATTCTGGAGTGCCTGTGAGTCTCCGTCCAGCCTGGACCGAGCTGGGCTGAGAGGGAGGTGAGGAAAGGCCTCCAGGCCATGCTGTAGGATGCTGCAAGGAGTGGTGGTACTGCTTCTGGTTCGCCATTTGAGAGGGCAAGGACCTGTGGCCAGAAAAGTAAGATCCATCTTGCAGGATTTAGCCAATTAGCTGGCAAGGGAAGGAGAGTGTGCCAGGGAACAGCCTTGCCATGGTGCTTTCTAGTGGTGCCAGGGTGGTGGCAATCTCAAACCCTGCTAGCCCTACCTTCACGCTTCCCTGAGCTCTCTGCTCCCCCACTGCTGGGTGCAGACTTTGCCACCTCACCTGCAGCATGTCCACCATCTTCTTGAGCTCGGAAGGTTTGATCCCTGATGCCTGCTGCATGGTGAAGCCCTTGAAGTTCTCAATGATGCAGAACCCGTTGATCTGAGTCTCGTCATTTTCCAGCAACTTCTCCAAAATAACACAATAGGCACGAAGGATCTGATGAAGAGGAGAGACAGCAGGGTATTAGGTCTCACCTCCCATAGACCCCAGGAGGTTCCCAGGAAGAGTCCCATGGAGCATTAGCCAGGGTCTGCTTGACTCCAGCCTGCTTGTTGCAGCCAGCCCCAGGACTTCAGAGCAGGGAGGGCATTTTGGGGGATGCTCAACAACCACCACGCTCCCCTTCCAAGGTGGGCACATCTCAGATCTGGATCAAGGATATGTTGCCAACAAATTCAGAGCCAAGCAGAAAACAGAGCTCGGAGAACTTGTGAGTTACAAGCTTGAAGACCTCTTCACCAAGAAGCCCTTTCTGTGCCTTCTGCCTCAGTTTCCTCCTCTGCCCTGCCCGTTCCTCCTTTCTAGAGCACCTTGATTAAATGGCATGGTGCCTTTCTTCACCTTGTGTTACCTGGGCTGGGGAACGCACATGCGAATTTAGCCTGCACTTTGCACCATATCAGGGGGAAGGAAGGGGAACACTTTGGGATGGACCACACTCTCCCAGGCTCCCTGGAAGGAAATATTCAAAGGGCTGCAGATTTGCTTCAACTTGGATGGCTGGACGCTGTGTGTGGACATATGCAAGTGTGTGTGTGTGTAAAAGATGTGCCGAGTGAGACAAGCCGAGGATTGGGACCGCACTGCTCCGAGAG